TGTCGTCTTATTTTTCTTCATGGCCTCGACAAGAAATTTGGAACGTTAGATGCTGGCGCATTCACTCGACCTTCGAGAAGTCTTCCTCCCTCCACAATACCCTGGTTATCGTTGCCTTGTATTCCCCCTCCTTGATTTCATCGTACAACCCAAAGACAGTTGCCGTTTCGCATTCGCCAGCTTATCTGAGTATAAAAGCGAGCTATCTGACTCTCTTCGAATAAGGTTGTCTGCTTGCCTCTGCTCTCTCTTATGAACGCAGCCTCTGATATCAAAGGCGTGGCAACAAGTCAGTGTTTGTGCCCTAATGCAGCGGCAACAAAAGGATGCATCCGCAAGCGCCATGGCTTCTCAGAAAATGAGGACTAGAGGTCCTTCACGACAAAAGTCAACCATTCTTCCTTGGAAAATGAGATTGATTGGTTACATCGTCGTTTCTTGATTTGGAAATTGATCTACTGCTCGCGATTTGATTTGATATCTATAGTTGATATTATTGAAGATACTTTGCAAGATATAAGCAATGCTGTTTCCCGATCCTGCGTACATCAAGCGGTAAAGCTTTTTGTTTCTCTGTCAACTCTTCCCCTGAGTCTATGGGTCTTGCCTTCGAAATTTAATCCCATTCCTCGGATTACGTTCAAGACTTGTCTCTCAAAGGCTATTCTATAAGTGAGACCTTCACCTCAACAAAGTCTTTGTACTAATAGCCTCTCAGATCTGCTTGGATCCGTTTGCAAGCAGCTACCTCGACTTCAAATACAATTTCCATCGCCAAGCCAAATAGACCTTCGTTATCAGCCTCAAAACTGCCAGCCTCGCTGTAAACTAACCCTGTACTCGGTTCCCAAAACTTGGAAGCGATACCAGCACAACATCGTGGCGTCCGCACCCCGCAATACAAGGCTGCACAAGGCAAGCTCCCCCTCCCCCCCTGACACCTCCTGAGGGTAAGGCTGACCTAGTGCAGAGCAAGTCAATCATGTGTGATTGGGAAGAATTTCAATTTGTTTGCGGCCACAACTCGAGTCGCCTACTCTCCTACTGCCACTTCGCACGAACCGACCCCTATCACCAATGTTTCGGTGTCAAGGTCATCAAGCATACGTGGGTACAGAATGTGGCGTGTCAGCCTTGCCTCGATGCGATGCGTGCTGCTGCCATGAAGCGGGCCGCACATGGTGGGGATGGACGACGGTAGACATTCGAGAATGTAATGTTACACTCCGATATGGGATGGATGTTTCCAGGCCCTCTTTTGACGGCGAGGCTGATCTAGGCACCAGCCACCTATGACATAGTGACGTTCAGGGACATTTGATATGCGGGGGAGAGGGGAACAAAGAGTGTGTACTTCCAAAGACAAAAAGGAAAGATCTTGTGTGCATTCTTGCGAGTAGTTATCTTCCGGCGTCGGACAGGGGCTACAAATATCAATTACAAGACATATTGTTACATATCTCTTAACCATCAAATCAATCCTAACGAGGACACCAGCTCGACAGAAACCTCTTTTCAAAATATAGCAGAAAAAAACTCGAGGAAAAGAAACAAAGTTTACTTAAACGTCCGCCTCCGATATCTGAGCATAGCCTCGCAGCCAACTGAAGTGCAAACCCACAATTCTTCCTCGTGCAACAAGAGGCTGCTGATCGATGTCAGCATCCACTCGGGCTCTTACCAAGGCCCGTAACACAGCAGTCGTTTTTCCCACTTGCACCCGCCGGAGCACAACATACAGTGGGCGTCTGCCAGTATCCCAAAGCAGCGATTTTTCCCTCTGAAATAAAGAAATGCAAGAGTATCACAGCCGTCGATCCGGTGTCTGCAGCCACAGGCACCTAGACTTAAAGACAGGACTCCCTGCCGTCGGGGCAGGAGATGTGTCCGCTGCGGAAGATCGGCCTTCCGTCGAGATTCAGTGTTGAGTTGGAGGTGGAGGTCAAGGTCTGGATGCTTCTGGATTGCTTCTTCTAGCTAGCTAGCTAGCAAAGAGTGCATCAGAGGTATGTCTCTCTATCTGGATGAATGGAGGTACTGTACGCCGAACTCCCGAATCACATTACAGCACAGCACAGCGCTTCCATGTCCAAACCCATCGGCTTCTTCCTCTTCCCGTCTCTCCATCTACGTCTCTCGTATTCGATTGCAGTTTGAGGGGGCAAGATCAGGTAGAGCCAGTCTGAGGAACCACAACACCAACAACATTATACCGCTTACTGAAAAACGTCTCCCAGTCCGCAAGCGTCTGCTTCTCTTTCTCGTCTAGGTCTTCCCAATCTGGACGCACGTCCTCGGCTTTTGTGCTGGTGAGGCCGAGGGCGCGGGAGGCGTCGTGGCCGGCGAAGACTGGGGGTGGGGAGAGGGGTTAGTTGGTTGTGGTTTATGGGGAGGGGGAAGGACGTACCGTGATAAGAGCCGCCTTTCTCGTAGGATTTGTTGCCGGTGACGTCGAAGACTTTGCCCTGGTTTCGGAGACGGTGTTAGGGAGGTGGTGGTCTCAGCCTCGTGGGAGGGGTGGTAAGGATGGGGTAGGTGGCTTGGGCCAGAGGAGCGGTACCTTGATTGCGACGTAGCACAGAATGCTGTCGATTCCTGGTTTGGGTGTTAGCTGCAGTCTTGGATAGGGTCATTGGGTGACTGGGAGAGACATACCATTGCACTTTGCCAGGAACTCTGGGGTGATAGGATCGTCTTTGGGAGGGTTGAGCACGACGGGTGTCTTGGGCTCGAATTTGCCTTTCGTTGCCATGGTGGATGGGGGGTTGGCTCAGGTATTTTGAATTGTCTCGAGGGGTAGGACACTGTGTTGAGCAGAGAAGGGGCAATGGGCTGGAGATGTGTTCAGAGGATGGTTGTAAAGTTTGGTGCAGCCTCGGATGTGGGGTAAATACAGAGGTCGCTTTTAGCGTCGTCGGCCTGGGATCCGCCGACAGGGGTTATTCTCGCGATCATCGACCTCCGAAATATTCTTCCAGCCCAGACATCACAGCTTCACGAGCTCGAATTGAGATCACCACGCATACTACAATCCACACTCAGCTCGATAGTGAAGGGCCTGAGCCTGTACAGCTACTACAATGTTCGCGCCACGCTTTAGGAGCGCATTCCGACCAGCTTCGAAGCAAGCTTCACAATGTCTACGCCAACAACGAAAGCCATTGCCACGAAACTCAATATCACATCAGATGAGACAACAAAGATACCAATCAAACGGGTCCTTCCGCCAAGCTTCCAAAACTCTCTTCAAAGCCTACCCATTCTCCGTCACAGCAGCAACATTCTTGTACATCCAATCCCCACAGCAAGCTTAGACAATAACTAATAGCAGACAGCATCCTCGCTGGCGTAGGTTTCCTCGCATACACTAACTACATATACTACACCTACTTCCTCGGCGCCTTCCACAAGTTCCCAGAACCAGTAGCTAAGCAGCTGCGGAAAGCGCTTTACTACACGAACCAAGCACTCGATGCGAAACTCGCAGTCAAATATTACAAAGAAGCCTTGCGCATCGCAGATGAGATTGGCATGGATCCGTTCTCGGACGAGATTATTGGCGTCAAGATCCAGCTTGCGGCGCTGATGGAGAAGGTGCAGCAATACCAGCGGGCGATCGATATCCTCGAGATTGTGAAGAGGGATAATTTGCGGTGGGTGGAGGAGCTGGGTTCCAAGCCGGGGAATGAGGGGAAGAGGACGAGGGTGTTGGGGAAGACGGTGGGGATTAGTGTTAAGCTTGGGGAGTTGTATGCGAATCAGTATGTGGATGAGAGGGAGGCGGCGGAGGAGAGGTTGACCTGGGCGGTGGAGACGGTGCTGAGGGAGCAGAAGAGGAGGCAGGAAGAAGGTGTCAAGCCTGAGGAGGGGGATTGGATGGATCCGGACCAGATTGGTGGCACGTTGGAGGCGTTGGGTCATCATTATGAGGAGAAGAATCAGCATTATCTTGCGGCGCCGTTGTTTCTTCAGGCTTTGACGTTGTCGCCGCCTACAAGCTGTCATACTGCGGTATTGAGTAGGTCATTCCCCCCTTTACTCAAATATGTACTGACGAAACAGTGAACAACCTCTCAATCTCTCTAGCACAACAACTCCCACCTCCAACACCTGGCCAACCACCTGTCTCCAGACCAGCACTTATCAGCAATGCCCGCGCCTGGGCCGAAAAGGCCGTCGCGTTAGCTGCGAAATGCGCCCCTCCCGAGCGGACAGAAGAATGCGATATGGCCTGTGCCGTAGCAACACATAATCTTGGAGAATTCGCAGAGATGGATGGGGATATTGCAGAAGCGAGGAGGAAATTTGAAGAGGCGAAGAGCCTGGCTAAGGCTATTGGGTTTCAAGAGGGGGTTATAAATGCCGAAGATTCGTTACGGAGGATAAAGAAGACTTAGATGAATTGATGTTTGAGCAAGAAGTCCCTTTGCGCAGTTCCTCTGTGATCATTGTTGGATTTGATACTCGCCTCTTACTGAAGCTAGCTCCCTCCATCTCGTTATGCCTCTATTCCTTACCTGCTCTCATTACCCACTTACCGTTCACAACTCTCCCGTCAATCAACAAAAATGTCAATCCTATCTCACTACTCACTCCTCACTCCTCCCCTCCCTCAAACCTTGATAACCCAATTCAAGCCACTATTTTCCAAACTCAGGGGTCATAGCTTAACGGTAACGCGCACAAGAAATACCCGTACAGACTCTGACATTAAGAAGGAGGGTTTTACGCATTGCGTTTAAAATCCGCTAGAACTTCCGTCGTTAAAGAGTCTTGTCAGAGCGTCTCGATTGTGAGATGTTGGTTCGAATCAAGCTGACTCCAAAAGCTTTGTTTTCTCTTTTTGGGTTGTGTTTCCCTCACTGTGCTTAGATTTCGGTATGCTAGCGAATGGGTTTAATGGCCGGCTTTCGTCCTATTCTTGATTGATGATTTTTTGTTCCGCAGGGAGGGGAGGTGTATAGGGAGAGATAGAGACTTTTGGTGATATATTCCAGGGAGGTGTTGTCGCTTAACGGTAAAGCGCACGAGATACACCCAACGGATTGTGAAATAGAGGATGTCATGCTTTGCATTTGAGATCCGGCTCCGAAGCAATCTGTTTGTGCAATCGTGAGATGCTAGTTCGAATCCAGCTGACTCCTACTCTAGTTTATTTTCAAGCAAACACTTATTGCTCACCCGAAGTCCATATTTGAAATGTGGTAAGATTACACTCAATATTGAGTTTCGTCTTACTCTATTCATGCTCTTTCTTCTAGTTTTGTGTTTAAAATTACAAGTAAAGACACTTGTGACATTCAGCGTGGTCGTAGCTTTGTGGTAAAGCGCACAGAAATTGCTCCTGCATCACGAAAAAAGGAGAGGGCCTTGCTAATCTTCGCTGTCTTGTTATGATACTCGTGAGCTGCCAAGGAACGGTTATTGACTGATTCAAGGCAAAGAAAGGGGTTTACAACAGAGTCTCAATCTTCAAACTCAATCGTTTACTGAGGTTGAAGAATTTTTCGTCCCAACGGAACGGTGGAGATAGGGATAGGCCAATCACTCTTCATGCAACCCCACGCTGTGGCTTGCAGGAAGGGGGGGCGCAGCGCTTGCAGCTCTCTGAAAATGCACTTTTGCAAACGCCTCAATGGCACACCTGAAAGACTAACCTGCCACTAGTCTATTCTCCGCATTCAGCTTCCAGAATTTAAACTGTTCGTTCCCCCATACGCATAATCGTTGGCCCCCTCTATCTCACCTTTCCCTATATACAATCATCTTTTCACAAACCAGAGTCCATCGAGATGTTGCCTGATATTTTGCAGGATGAAATACCGGGTGTTGCGGGCCCAGAGAAGCACACAGCGTTAACACCTGATCCCGTTCCGAAGCCTTCTCGAAGAGCTCGGAATGACCAGAAATGGGAATTACTTAAGGATGAGATACGCTGTACATACATGACCAACGACTTCACACTTCAGAACACAAGGAGAGTCATCGAGGAAAGGCATGCCTTTAAGGCTAGGTATAGACATTTGCCCCCGCCCCCAGTGTATTTCTCGCTAGAAAGAGACTAATCCATGCGCTGGGAATAGTGAGAGGAAATGGAAAGAGAAGCTTAAAGAGTGGGGCTTTGATAAGAACATCTCAGCCACTGATATGAACTTTCTGGTAGCAAAAGCAGAAAAGAGGATGCACGATGAAGGCAAAAACACAGTTTTCTTCTCGGGAACGTCTCAAATCACACGGGAGAGAATTGAGCAATTCAAGCGAAGGAAGATAAGCAGGGAATTTGACAAATCATCTCTCGAAGGGAGTACGTTTCAATCAATTCTACGAAAGAAGTCTGTTCTAACTCCTCACAAGATACGCCTAAAAACATCACCTACTACACTCCTCCAAAAGACTCTCCACTGTCCTGCTTAGCAGATCCCGAGGCTGCTGAGACAACCAGTGAACTGGCTTTAGAGCCAAACGAGTGTGTCCCACCCTGGTTTCCCTATCCAAGGAATGGGACCTCGAGCTTCAAGAAAAATGAGAGAAAAACACAGTCGCCAACTGTGCTGGATCCATTTCTAAAAAGTGGATCTCGGGAGGACAGCTTCTCAACTTCAGGGACCATCCAAACCTATGGCTCAAGCGAGACAGATTACAATGATGACTTTGATTCCAAAAGGTACGTGTATTACCGGATGTTAATTTCGATATGAACGCACACGGCGGTTGTGCTATATTGTAACTTCCACCTTTGCATATTCTCGTGGGCTCCAACGCACCGGCTCAAGCCTACTCAATTATCCTTCAAGTCATGCTGCATTTCGATTACTGCTTGAATGATTAGATGCTAACTCCGTTTCATCCAGGTCCTCAGCAGTACCCGACGAGGCGGGTAGACTTTTGGGTCATGAGTTAGCCGCCCAGATGGATAGAGTCATTTCTCGAATGGTTGAGAACTCTAGCCTTAAACCATCATCTCCAGTGGTTACAGCTACTCGTGGGCTGCCGTACTCCTATTCCCGCCCCAACGACAAAGGATTTGACTATCTCTCCACTGGAGTTCCGCCGAAACTTCTGCTTGAATTTCCGCTCCCAAGTGGAGAAGAAGTCCTCTCACACCAATCGGAACCTGTTTTGGTGAATGATGGAGAGGACTCCCATGCTTTTGTAGAAAAGGAGCTGGATCACCCTTTCTTCGAAGAAAATACAGTGTCCACAGAGGAATATATAGACAACAACGATTCTGAAGGCTCTATTTCGGATTCCGAATCTTCCAATATCTCAGAAAAGGATATGCAGACTCTGTTGGCCCATGCAAGGCTGTATTTTCCTCGGAAGCGGAAAGCACTAGAGCTTCGAGCAAAGGGCTGGTCTATGGTCGGGATCTTTCAGCATCTTATAGCTGCCGGTGGCAATGAAGCAGGCTTGGAATTCTGCCAGAAGCTGTGGAAGTTATGTTCCTTCTTCGAAAAAGAACATCTTCTGGAAGACGCTCTGCTGGGCTTTGAACTCATCCAAGCAGGCTATGATATAGATTTCGGAGCGGCCAGTAAGGACACTATGCGATGTCTTGCTCATAAAGCTCGAGTTCTGAGAAAGATGAAACAACATCAAGATTCGGAAGTACTTTATCGACAAGCCATCACAGGTTTCAGAGCCTTACGCCAAAGATCATCTCAGCTCAAATGCCAACTGTTACTTGGAAGTCTTCTCCGAAGCCTCGACCGGAATATTGAGGCCCTTGAACTTCTCGTTGGGGCTTTGATCGAGCATTTCAGTCTCCCTAAAACATTTGAGGAGAGCAGCAGAGTTCTCGAACTTTTGGATTCTATTCAGAAAGTACATTTCAAAATGGAACTTGGCCCAGGTCTCAATGAGAGTATCTCTCGGCTGAAAGATATTCAGCACCATTGGATCGAAACCCCTGATTACTTTAGATTTTGGACCGAATCTATGAGTATTGGGGCTCAGTATTCAAAAATCGGAGAGTTCGACGTAGCCGATTTATGCTTTGCGATTCCGGTACCCATATGGACCGGTAGGCCCGGCCCAACGATCAGGATCCAACTGTTAAGAAGATTCACGGAGCTTTGCATGCATTACAAACGGCAAGGAAAGTTTGTGAAAAGTATTGAACAGTTGGAGGATGTTTTGAAAGAATTCTCTCTACACCTTCAAGAGAAATCTTTCGAAATAAATGATTCCCGGAAGACATCTGTGATGACGGACACATCTGAGCAAGAATTCCTTGTGATTCTGAAGAATATAATGCTTGAATTAGATCCTGCAGAGATACCGGCTATCCAAGACTCGTTCAAGATGCCGCTCTGGTCCAGCTGGAGGAGGGCCGAAACCGCTTGGGCAAAGCTCGATCACCATATTGGTCAGCACAAACCAATAAGAAACAGCCGCATAAATCACCTCAGAGAATGCGAGACGATTCAGCGACGGGACACTGCAAGCATATCTAGCCATGGTTCATCGGGTTTGTCCAGCGGCAGCTCTGGGTCCAGAATTGGCATCACGTATTCTGTGGGCTCAGCTTCTTCCGTCGTCAGCAACTCAGCATTCATGATCCCTTCATAAAAGCTACTCGACGTCATTGGCTTCTGCCTGTTTTTTGTAGCTAATACTAAGATTGAATGAGAGTCCCTGTCCATAGGGATAATTGCACAAACTTCAACGCCTCCTGAATTCATCTCTCGTCAAATGGCGCTGAGATCAAACCTATCTATCTGCAACCCATGCACGAACCAAACCGACATCTCTCCTTTTTCTAACTCATATCTCATATCTTTCAGATCCTATCTGACTTCCCCCCAATACGAACATTCATACTCGCAGCCGGCTTCAACGGATCGATATAACCCCTCTCCGCCAACGTCCTATGCATCTCCGGCTCCGCCTCGACAACCCTCAACTCAACTTCCGTATCCACCTTAATGCCCTCGCCCTTGTACCGCCTATCTTGCAACTCAACCTCGCTACCACTGCCCCCTAGACTCTCGACGTCGTTGCCCATGCGCTCGAAGCCGTCGCTGGTATAGCGACCTGACCCTGGCGGTATCCGGGATCGCGCGTATTGGGAGCCGACTGGGAGCTTGGATTGTGAGTTCGAGACCGTGGAGCGCACGTTGTCGAAGAAGCGTTTAAAGAGGGGGCGGAGTAGGGGCAGGTTGCCGCACGTTATGCCGATGCTGATTTCGAGATAAGTCCAGACGCCGGGTTCGACCTGGGTGACTGTGATAGAAGATAAGTAAGTAGGTTTTGAGTCATGGGGAAATATTTGCGGCAGATTTTCGAAGCTATTTTCTGCACTTGTGGAATAATTGGAGAGAGTGTGTGGACTTACATGTTAAATCATCTGTGTCGATACCGAAAAGGGCAATGAACCGGATGATGCTGGTCCCTACGACGCTGAGGGGCGTTCGCCGTCAGATAATCTTCTAGAGTTAGGGGGCATATCGTGGCTTACAAGGCTCCAAACATAAAGATACCGGTGAGAGCAATTTTGCTTCGACGATTCATCTGCAGTCTCCAAATCATCGGCAGCGGCATTCCCAGTATGAAAAGGTCTCCAAGGAACGATAAGAATCCATTAGTGAAGCCGATCACCGTTAATGCATTATTAACACAGTGACCTCCCTTGATTGTCTTATTCCAGAAGAACTCGACAGGAGTGCATTCAAAAGTGCTAGACATCCAGGCGCCAATCGTCCAGAGTAGAGTGTAGATCCAGGCTCCCCAGGCGACTTTCTTGAAGATCGGGGTATTGAAAATCCGTACATATAGTAGGATTATTGAGGTTTTGATGCAGAAGATCGAGGGAGGTTGAAATCTTTGGAGGATCCAAATAGACTTTTCGTGTCAGTTAAAAGCAGCTTGTGGATGAAAATAGACTCACGAGGTTAACTTGCCGCAAGTCAGGTTTAGATACATTCTTCTCATGAGCTCCTAATCCATAGGACATGCCTATGAAGTTGTCAGTAAATGTTCTCTTTCGTCTGACGACATTTTTACTTGCCGTAAATCTCAGCAAAAATAATCCCATAACTCATTAGCAAAGCAGCCAACATAAACCAATCTTCAGAATAAAGTTTTCCAACCGATATCATCTTCGCCACTGTTCGACCAATGCAAGTAACATGAGACAAGACCG